ATTTATTCTGCTACATTTCTCTAGTGAAAATAAGCTAAATCTGTTATTTAGTCTGTAGGAAAGTTATAGTCCACAAAACTATGGTGTATACATCTGAAAAATCGATCATTCCTGGGAGTACTGACGAACAATTAACATCTTGAGGCCCAAAAATATCAGGACAGTACAAATATCCCCCAAATGACCCTTTTTTGCAAAGTAGGCAGTCGAACATATTTAGTAAGAGGCATGGAGTGTTTTTTGAAGCTGTAATTTTTTGGCAAATAAAAAAATGTCTTCACTATTTTGTACATACTGTTACCAGTGCAGTACAAAGTAATTATATAACTGGTGTGTCGGTGATCAGGGACACTGGCTGGTGACAGTATGAAAAAAAAGTCAGATTCTTAAAACGTATTACCTTTTTTACGATTTCTTTCTCAAAAAAAAAAAAAACAAAAAAAAAAAAAAAACACACTGACCAGAGTAGTGTGTTACCATAGTAACATTGTACTACTCTGGGGAAGTGATCAGTTTTTTTTTTTTTTTTTTTAATTATAAAACACATTATGGATTGTTTATAGCAAAGAATTTCTTTGCTATAAGCAAGCATTTAGCTGAATGAATTTGATTCATTCAGGTTTTTTGTTGTAATTAGCCACAGCTAATCACATGACTCAGATGGGCTGTGATTGGCCCAGTCTGTACATGTGATCACTGTGACCAATCACAGCTAGTGACAATTGTGTACAATGGATGGCATGAAAGAAAGCCATCCATTGTTTAAAATCGTCATGCTACCTGCTGCGATTGGTCACCTGGTACTAGCAACAGCTGGTACACAGATCTGTCATTGGCTGTGTCCGAGGTACACAGCCGGTGACAGATTAAGCCACTGCGCAGCCTTATGGGCACAGGCGAGGTGCGATCCGGGAAGGATATCCTACGACGCCCACCCGATCGACGAGAGTCCCACTCAACCGTCATTTTGCTATTGGCCATGTGGGAATGGGTTAAACTTGTTCAGTGGATTTTACAGGTTTCCTGGCTGGACAGCCTTACAACTAATTCTGGCTTCTGTATTATGCTACAGATGAGTGACTTACCTGGTGGATTGTCCCACACTATTGGTATAATATCCCCCTAGACTATGGCCAACCTGTTTATTTTCCTGTTGGAATGTGATGGGCCTTATTACTCCAAAGAGGACTAAACAGAGCAGAAATATCCACAAATACTTCACACACCTTCTGAACCTGTAAAGCATTTCACAACCTTCACCAACTCAGAAAATCCTCCTCTTTACTGGTTTCATCCTACCACCTTGCTATCCTCTTTACTGAAGTACTAAACAGAATCAGAAAAGACTACTCAAATTACACTTAATACTCCAGTAAAATCACAGGACCTTGTGTGCCAAAAGAGTGCTGCTCATCAGTTGGTGTCCAGTAATGGCTAACAATGAGAAAAGTGGAAATTTAAAAAAAAAAAAAAAAAAAAAACTTGTCCAGGAGAGTAAAAATCAGTGTCTTAATCTACTTGTCCCACATGACAATCTACTTGTCCTGATAAAAATAAATACATTTTTAACCAAAACCGTATCTAAATCTGAGGTACTTTATCGAATGTCTGGGGCTTTTAAAAAACAAGGTTTTATGGCGACTTACGCGTTTAATATTTTTAACATTGCGCTTTATATCTCCTCTTCCCCACCCTGTCTCCAGCACCGCACCTAGGGAGTAGCAGGGTTGGGAGAAACCTTGCAGTGTAATGAGCACCGATTGGCTGCTAGTCAGGAAAGGGGCGTTTCAAACTTATCCTTTTCGCTGCCAGAGCCATTTTTTGTGGTTTTTGCACACGTTTAAAAAAAATCATTTAGGGCCTGAAGATTACACAAAGCTCCCAAACATTATGTATTTTCTGAAAGCAGAGACCATAGAGAATAAAATAGCGGTAGTTCCAATATTTTATGTCATACAATATTATCACAAAGGTGTAGGAAATGCAAAATTTCAGTAAAAAATACACTTACGTTAATTTTAGGGCACAAAAAGCAATAAATTATCCAATTTTTTTTGTAAAATATAAAAGACGAGGTTGCATTGAGTAAACAGATATCCAACATGTCAACATTTGCATGTGCTCATGAAACCGCAACAAACTTTAGTACCCTATATTTTCTATAGGTGATGCTTTCAAAGCTCCTTATAGGTCAATTTAGCATTAGGGAGGAGTTCTGGTGCTAGAATTATTGCTCTCACTGTGGCGTGCGTGGTGATATATATAACACATGTATCATGTGTAGGCACCCCAGCACGTGCTTTTAAATTTGTGCGTGTGCACATATGTGGGGGGGGGGGGGGGGGGGTGCAACTTTTTTTTTTTTTTTTTTTTATAATCACAGAGGGGGACAAAGTCTCCTATGTGATGATTTTTGGTGACAGGTTCTCTTTTTTTGAGACATCCAGGGTCTAGAAGATCCTGCATGTCTCCCCTGTATGTATTGCAGTGCACATCGCACTGCATTACATGCTTTCCTCGTTGGCCAGGAATCTGACAATGGGGACCTGGAAGTGATGTCACATCTCTTCTGGGTCAGGACAAGAAATGGTGGCGGCGACTGGCACTGTCCACACGAAGCAATCAGGCAGCAGCAATGCCACCTGAATGCTTCCACCTGAGAGGTGGGCCATGCTGCTCGCGTGCAGCAGGGCAAAAAAAAACCAAACAAAAAACAAACAAACATACCTGCCCGGCACTACATGTCCCGAGTGTCAGGCGATATGAACTGCAAATCCCTGCACTTACATATCACGACATGAAAAGGTCAAAAACTTACTGTAGGAACACAGATTGAGTTACATAACTTACATTAGCAAATTTAGACTTGTGGATCACCACAGCTTTAGAAGGGACAGAAACTTCAGGTTTGCGGAGATTGAATTCAGTTTTTGGCCTATTTTGGTCCATCATAGATTTCCATTCATCCAATGACATCTCCTTAAGATAATCTTCAGATTCCTCCTCTGAGGCCCTACAAATACAGACATGAGGAGTGTTCCATGGGTGTATAAAACAAAACTCATGTTAGCTGATCATACATTGCTTACTTGACATCTTGTTCCTCTTCTGATGCCTCGAGAGGTTCAAAGTTTTCTGCATTCTCTACAGGTACAGGTTCTTCCTCACTAACAGAAGTTTAAGAATTGCAAAGTTAGAACACCATGCAAGCTTTAGAAACACATTAACACTTGAACACAAGCATTCCAAAATTGTTATGTCCAGTTATTCAAGATTTATTAAGGCATGGTTTATGCTTGCAAAAAAAAAAAAAATAATAGATAAAAAGGGGACCCAGCTAGAGCAGGGAAATTCTTCATAACAGTCACCAAAAACATGTACAGGAGTTACAAAAAGGTGTACAGTCGAATACATTGCAATACACAACTACAATACACCAGCCTCTCCCAACCTTTTTAACACAGGAACCCTTGAAATAAATCTAAACTCATACATAAGTGAGATGATCAGTGGGAAGACTTGCTTCTTACACTTGTGGACATTGGGGGGGGGGGGGGGAGGGAATTGCGCATGTAACCATTAGCCATCTCTGGAGAAACCCTAGGGATCCATGGAACCCTGCAATATACTAAAAATGTAGCTAGTTCTCCATCCTAAAATACTGTATATAGACTGCACATGGAAATTATCTATGCAATACCACATCCAAAGCAATGACCTCTCATAAGGTGGTATATTGCAGATGTCCTAATAGTTTTTATATTTTCACAAGGATCTATAAAGGACACAATGTGGGTAAAACAAATAATGGGATGTAGATTTCTGCGCCAAAACTCCAAGTCTGAGGTGTGACCAGTACCAATTAGTATAATACATTCTTCTTGAATTAATAATGAACACTTGCCGCAGGAGGTTACAATGCTATCAAACCTGCATACTGTTGTCACTACGCCACAGATCAACTCACTTTTCACATGCCAATTCAGATTTCTTGCACATCTAAAGGTTTTTTGGGAAGACAATTTTATATTCAAATCCAACCAGAAACTGTTCAGAAGCTTTACATTACACGGAACATTAAGGCCCCTTTGCACACAGGGCCATCTATTTGCTGTGGGTCCCTCTGTTTTAGTGCACTCAGGTCAAACAGGCGCAGCATCCAGCCCTGCTGCCCACAACCAGTCAGTTCAAGGCAGGCTGCAGATGGATGGGGCAGAACTCTGTACAAAGTAGTACTCTCATTTAGGGTACCATCATTCAGGGACGAATACCCAGAGCAAAGGGAGAGATGCACTGCAGCTAGAGGGCCCCATGTGTAAGGGGTTTGGACAGATTACAGCCTGACCTAGAATATCTGTGGCTCTCCAGCTGTTCTGAAGCCTCTGGTCTACAAGGTACACTATATTTGTACTTTAACAGCTACATATCTACGTTTTCTATTTGCAACATTATTTAAACAGAGGGTTGTACATCTGAAGCTGGCTACATACGATTGTGGTGTACCTGAAAGCATCTTTAAATGAGCCCCAGTTGCGAGGTCCACTTCCACCCCTCTTGTCTTCTGCTCTTACTCTACTAGACAGAAAACATTGGCTTTAAGCTAACTAAATAATAGTCAGCCTCCATGTGGAATAATTAACATGACAAATGAAGATCAATATAGCATGCAACCCAATCCAGTTATCTGCATACAGAGGTTTGTACAATAGGGAGATGGATATCACATCAGCAAACCACAAGTCAGAGCTAGTGTATGAAAGGGGTGCATTTTCTCCAGTGCATCATAGGTAAGGTTTTACATGTCAATTTGAAAGCTGAAATCCAGGCAACACAGTCCAAATACAAGAGCCATATGTATTCTTACTGGTGTTCTGTGTGAATTTCTTCCATATCTGTGCAGTAATCCAATCTGAAGCAACTCCTGCACTTTTTTGTGCAGGAGCTTCTTGTAATGGAGACAAGTCACTGCTGCTCTGTAGGCAACTAGCCTTGCATCCAGCTCCACCTCTGTTTTCTGCAGGCAGCCTGTAGTGGAGGATGTGCTGGGTTCCACCAACAGCTCTGCCCAGGCCATGTACAGCATGGCGAGGAGATGACCACAGCTAATATCTAGGTTTGCAATGGGCATTTTGTGCAAAGGATTTAAATTCTATATAGCTTTTTAAAAAAGGTATGTATTTAAAATGAATTTTTGCCCGGTATTCAGAGAAAAAAAAAAAAAAAAACCACACCACATGGAGTGGGCAATGTAGCTTGCACTTCTAAAATATATCTTTCACAGAAAGTCTGCTTTAAACAGTAATACTTATAAATAGTGCCATGCAGTGCTATGTGCAAAAGATTCAGGCAGTGCTCATCAGAAGATATTAAAACACCTTCTCGCAGTGCAGAAAGAATATGTGGATAAACTACTTATGCATTAAAACTTGAAACAAAATATCCAAATGTACCAACTAAATTGTCTGTGTATACCACTTTAAATGTAAATGTACATAAGCAGTGCGATTGCAAACCTACTTTAAAAGTTCTAAATAATAAATGTGTTCAAATGTAAAAAAGAAAAAAAAAATGTTATGACGTAGCCATGTGTCTCACTTATTTCTCCCTGCGTACCACTTTAAATGCACACATCCCTCTAAAGTGCAACTGCAATTCTTATCTTAACCCAAAATGTGTGCATAAACACTATATACAATTAAAAAGTGTTACTAAACCTACAACAGTAAGGTCAGTCTGTATATGCAGTAAAGAATGCTTGTTATACTCACTGTGGAACCTAAGGGGTTATCCCTCTGCATTGTGTAAAAAGGCTGTTTGATCCTTTCTCTGCTCCTCCTCTTGTTGAAATGACCACCTGATACAGACTGAACCTTTAACAATGCACACCAAACTGAGCATGTGACCAAAGGTTTTTTCCTTCTTGGGAGAGTGCATGTGATCAACACAGGGCCAATCAGCACTGTTCAGACAGAGGGTCAGAGGTTTCACATCCTCCTAGAGCAGAAAGAAAACTCCTCTTACAAGCTTTAACCAGTGCTCTGCTGAAGTCACAAGACGGCTCTAACTGCTGATGAGAAAAAGGTATTTAGCCGTTTATATTTACTGAAGTAATTGCATTTCCATGTTGTATGTACTGTGGGAGACCAGGTATAGGGAATGCAGGGTCCTTGGTTTAGTAACACTTTAATACACTGTGTCCAAGTTATATTATCTTGCTCCATCATCTCTTTCTCCACTTTAAACTGTGCCAACACTACTAAACCATGAAGGATCTGTGCAGAGTAAGAATATCCAGGATTTCACTCATTGGTGAGGACTCTTACTGGTGATCATATTTTTTAATTCTCTTCATTGCAACAACATAACCATGTATGAAAAGGAACTACTGAAACTAGCAGTAACAGAAATTATATTTCCCCTTCTATCCCACTACCTGACTGGCGTTTGCATGTTCTCCCTGTGCCTGCATGGTTTTCCGCTGGGTACTCTGTATTCTTCTCAAAGATATGCTGGTAGGTGAATTGACTCCTGTCTAAATTGGCAATAGTGTGTGTAGGTATGAAGGAGAGTTAGGGACCTTCGATTGTAAGCTCCTCAGGGCAGGGACTGATGTGAATGTATAATATGTAAAGCACTGCGTAAATTGACGGCACTATAAAAAGTACCTGTAATAATGAACAAACAAGATTCACTGATATTAGATTTACCCCAAGAATAAGACCTTCCCATCCATCATCCCCCCCCACCTCAAAACCCTGACAACACAACCATAAATTTAGAAATGGACAGTGGCCTGGAGAACTTTGGCATTACAAAATTGTTCTGACACCAAGAGAAACTTTAAACCCATTCTATGCCAACATTGATAGCCCAGACTTTGATACCTTCTCTCTCCAGATATTAGGAAAAACATGCATCCCCTCCACTTCAAGACAACATCCTAAAAAGGTGCATTTTTTTTTTTGGGGGGGGGGGGGGGCATAACAAACAAGGAAGAGTTTGTGATCTTTAAAAGTCAAAGTTATTTTAGAAGGCTTCATGAGGATCACGTAACCATCAATAGATCCAAAGCTTTTTGAAACAGAATATTCCTCTTATGTTGAAACTGCTAGTAAAGGACAGCTTTAAGTTTACAAAACTAAAAGGAACCCCAATAAGGAGTTCAAGAGACTAAGGTCCCAAATAAACTGCGTGAAATTTACCCAACTCATGCTATATAAAAATATCTAGCCACATGCAAATCTGCTCATAACACATGAACGTGTTCCTAAAGGTAATAATTTTTAAAATTAAAACAAACATGCTATACTAACCTTCTCTGTGTAATAAGCCCTGAACCTCCTCTTTTGGGTTCCTCCTGTCATTCTCTTCTGTGTGCCGCCATAGCAATCCGCTTGCTATGGGGGCAGATTTGCAGGCTCACTCCTGAGTTGGGCTGTGTGCCATAGACAAAGTGTGGCTCAGCCCTATCCCCCACTCTGCCCACAGGATTTCTTTAACAGGAGTCAATGGTTCCCACTGCTACTCAATCATCCTTGACAAGAGAAGCAGGGGAGAACTGCAAATGGGTACAACACTGGATCAACACAGGACTCCAGTACGTTTTTGATGCATAAACCCAGCATTCCACTAAGTATATTCAAAGTTTTTCCTTAAAAAAAAAAAAAAAAAAAAAAAAACACCCCAAAAAAAAACCACAACAAAAAAAATCACCAAGCAAAGGAACCAGCAAAAGCAACAAGAAAAGTATATTCACATCACGTCACATAAAAAGGTACATTGGTTGAACAATCCCACAGTTGATTTTACCATATGCTCCATTCCTCCATATAGAATGAAAGCTTAGCTGTACAGGGCTTGTAGGTAGTCCAGATGTAATCCCTCAGTGCCCAATGATTCTGGACATATCTTGCACATAAAATAGATGCTTCTGTGGTAGTTCCTCATGCGAATATTATACTGCGCAATCACAAAAC